TCGTTCGGCACGCTGCATTGAGCAGCCGCGTTCAGTTTTTAATTGTAGTGTCTGTTCTTTTACGGAACTCGATTTTTATTACTATAAAAAAATCAAAATGACGGTGGGGGTCGGTGGCGCGGTGGGCAAGTGACGTAACCGGTGTTGCGGCTTAACACCGGTATCACCGTCAGCAGCGTCTATCGCGGCAAGCCTAGTTCACTGAGATCGTCCTGCAGCAGCGAACCACTGAATCAGCATCTGTGGTTTTTATACGATCTCGGATCAGTTTGATCAATTTGTAGACATTTTTAATGAGACATTTGTGTAATTAAAAGGATGAGTAGTAGTTAATAGTCTCTACTGGCCTATTTATACATGCTTTCCATAAAACAAACAAAACAAGTCCTTGCAAAATAATAATAATTATCTTAAAGACGCATATTATACAGACACTTCATTTTTAATGGTATTTTATTATTTTTATTGCATTTATTATATTATATAATAATATATTATACTTAAAAGAAAGCATTTGCATTGGGTTTGTAAAAGCAAAAGGTTTTTATGCATGCTTTAGCCTGAGTTTTTTTTGCATTTACTCAGTTTTGACCAGTAGGCTTCACCAGCGTGTGGTGCTTCGAGCGCTTCGAAACAGTGAATCATTTTGCGAAGTAATTGGTTCAATTTATTCGAAGCTTCGAAATGGTTCGTTTGTCCCATCACTATCAGAAACACAAGGAAACAGTCCAGGGTCAAAAACAAGGCAAGGCAACAAGGAACTAGAAAACATGGGAACTTGGACTACAGGCTAACAATACTGAGCAATGAATGTGTGAAAAACCAATATTTAATTAGGGTGAGACTGATGGAGGTAACAAGACACAGGTGAATGCAATAAGTGATGATATGAATAAGTCCGGCAAAGGATTATGGGAAATGGAGTCCAGGATGAATGGCAAATGTACAGGATGGAGTGCCCTCTAGTGGAGCTTGTGGGCACTCCAGCTGGCAATCATAACATTGTTTCAGTGAAACATATCAACTACTATACAATGCAGGCTTATGATTCTGGTCTCAGATGGATTAATTAATTCTTTGTCTGATATGTCAAATACAGTATATCTATTGGTGAATTCTCTCATAAATCATTTAAATGCATGGTTAAAGTCTAATCAAACACATGGACCAACCTTTTTAAAACATGGCAAAAATGTCTGATCCTCACCTTTGTGACTCTCCATAGTTTGAAAAGAGCAGCATCTCCACAAGATTCAGATGCCATAAGCCAGTAATCAGACCCAAGAGATCCCAGGAGGAATATTGAGTTTAGAGCTCAAAAAAATCCAGCCAGGAACTGTAAAACTACCAGACGCATAGCTGCTGAACAACGATTTTCTCTCAATCAATTATAAATGCTCACATTATTAGTTGGTTTGAATTAACAAACACTGTACAGCTGGTTTCTTAATCTGTCTACATTATTTCTTGTCCTTCAAGCAAAATGTTCTCTCAGAAATCTCTCAATGGTGTGACCACTGTGCAATGACCAATGACAAAAAAAAATGGACCAGACGCCACTATTCTTAGAGTCTAGCATAGGGACTTGTTTAAAAATAGAAGTCTGATCCAGTTCAACAAAATAAATAACATCTAATAAAAATAATCTTTTTATGTGACTGAAGAGACCGACTGGATGTAACTGACATTCATTTTCAATCAATGATTGTAGCACTACTGATATCAAGTTACACTGTGCAATCAGAGCACATTGGATTTTCATTAACGAATCTATACTGGTGAGGTAATGGTATAGAAAATAGCATCTGTCATCATGCGTTGCTAGAGTCAGCATTTAGTTACCTTCTTTAATAAAATAGCTGTGCGACTGTGAAAAGTTTATTTAACTGTGGAATAGATCTACACGTCTCAAGACACCAGTGTTTTAATTAAATGCATTCATGTTCTTGTGAAATAGCTATACTGAAACATTAACTAATGTTGTTGTAATGTTTTAAATTATGTGAAAAAAAAACTCATAAGTGCACTTCTAGCATGACAGATTCTTCTTCTGTCATCTCAGAGCAGAGACTTTCATTGTAAATAAATAGATTATTTGAGTGCACTTTACAGGAAAATACTATCTCAGTCTTCATACTTTGATGTTTAATTCAATGTGTTACTTGCTGTTTCATTGTAATTATTTGTCAAATTTACTAGAAATTTCTGAGTGACAAATGTTTATCAGTGTTTATCTTTGCCAAACAAAGAAAATCATTTCTGGACAGATATTAAGTTTAGAGCACCATACAATTCTCAATGTAAAAAGATGACACTTAGCATACTGAGTTGAGTGTATCTGCAAATATAGTGATTTATCACTATTATAGTGACTACATACGTTAAATATGCAAAATATGCCTCTACTTTAAACAGCTTTCCCCTGTTTTACATGAGCAGCCATGGGAATATTATTCAAATACACATTTACAGTGGGTATAGAAAAGAATCACCCCCCTTTAAAATAATCACATTTTGTTGCTTTGCAGCCTGAAATGAAGACGGACACAGTTTTTGTTTTATCCAGCTGTATTTACTCAGTGCAACTTATAACATCCAAGTGAAATATATAACACCAACATGTCAGAAATGTTTTTTTTATTTTTTTTATTAAATATTTAAAATGTAATAAAAAAAATTTTTTTTAATTTTTTACTCTTGGCAGGTCTTCCATCCTCATTTGTAAGTCACTTTGGATAAAGGCGTCTGCTAAATGACTAAATGTAAATGTAAATGTAAATAAAAACAGATTCACTGAGTTAGAAAAAGGATCACCCCTTTGTATCAGTATTTTGTTGAACCACCTTTTGCTTTAATTACAGCCTTTAGTCTGTTGAGATCTTGTTGCACATCTAGACTTTGCTATATTTGCCCATTCTTCTTTGCAGAACTGCTCAAGTTCAGTTAAATTTGATGGTAACCGTTTGTGGACTGTGTCCCTCTTTATTTCAGGCTGCAAAGCAACAAAATGTGATTATTTTACAAGGGGGTTGATTCTTTTCTATACCCACTGAATATTAAATACACATCTTCATGAATCTATGTAATTATGTTGTATGAAAACTATTATCTATCCACCTAAGAAAAGATTCATAACTCAGTTTGGGTTTTTTATAGATATAATAGGGCTGCAGTATTAATTTGATCTTGAGGCTAAGAAAGACATTTGAGGTTCACCTCTTTCTCTATAATAACAGTTTGTTATTGAGCTTGTGCTGCATTCATGCCATGTCGTAATTACTGTAATTTTGAGATGACAACATGTGATGTTCTAACTTGGAGCTGTTCACACCCTTGGACTCAGAACTATCGCACTCAATGCCTAAACACAGCACCTAATACATCTGAGGTGGTCAGGTGGTACAAGTTGTAGCTCTCACAAAATACCCAGTTCAAAAGTTATAATTACGAGTTCTATGAGGACGTGAACACTTTTTACAAGTTGTTATCTCGTAATCACGGTTATTACGATATGGCGTGAAGGCACCTTTATTATAGATGCACCTGTTATCTAAGGTGAGATCATTAATCAACTTTTGGTTGTGTGATGTCCATAATGCATCAGCTGTATTAGATTTCTCTATAGATTTAACAATTCATATGTCATGTATATAATCTTATTTAGTATAAATCATTTGTTGGTGAAAACAATGGATTTCTATTTCTGTTACCTTTACATTTTTGTTGTTTCTATAGTTTCACTGTTTACATTTTTGCTAAATGTCCTATAATATATTTTAAAAGGAGGTTTCTTTGTGGCAATTTACCTCGTATATTGTGACAACATGCCCCACTACTGAATCTGTGAACTGTGTCTTATTCTAAACTATAATGGTCAAAAATAAACTTCAGAACTGGAGTAAAAAGTGCCCTAGCCCTAGTCTCCCTTATATTGATCATACATTTTGTCTTATTATTGTCATAAAAAAAGGGACTGCTTTTGATTTAATCTCACATCGTTTTGTATTAGAAAACTGATTTTATAATGAAGAATATGATCACACAATGCCATACAACGCAAAACAAACATTGTATAGCTTGTAATGCTATCATACCAAACAGAAAGTGAAATAAAATGAAAACTGTGTTTTACAACCATCCACTAGATGGCAATATAGATCTTGGAACCCATGATCTCACATATTTTGTAAGAAATAGATTTGTGATTGCGGAAACATTGCACTACAAAACACGGAGGATCAAGCCATACCAATAAGGTACATGTATTTATAATCATAATCGGAGATATACGAGAACAGTCTTTCTCAAATACACCCATGAACCAAATTACCGTCCAACTCAAATAAATGCCTCGCTTATTATAGGTCCTGCAAATTTTCGTTGAGGGATGTTATCGTTAAGCTTCATTGTAACTTAACTTAAAAATAACACTATTAAAGGTATTATAACTCTGTCACAATCATTTTTAAATCAATTGCAAGCAAACCAGTATGTTAAACTATTACATTGTTTCAATCTTTTGTGAGTGTGTCGCATTACTTAAACATTTCGTGTTTGTGCCTGCACGTGTAGTTGCAGTGAGAGCGCGTGGGAAAGGCGGGGCCGAGCAGGGTGGCGTCACGCATCAGGGCGGGGCCACACTATGCAGCAGCGCAAAGAAGAGCAAGAGGCAGCGCGCTGGAATTTGGCAACAGAGATTCGCGTGCATCACAACACTTCCGATGGCAATATGGATTGACACAGCGCCCACTGAGATGTGAGTACGTTTGATTCGTGAAACATGCGGAACAGTCAGTCTCGAGGCTCTTTGTTGGTTACACAGCCAGAGAAATGACCATAAATTAATCTGCTGTTTGTATGCTCTGTAGTGCGCAGGGAGGCGAACTGGAGATAAGTTACATTTGTAAGCTGCAAAGTCGAAAGCTACACGATGCCATTTTATAATCGCTTTCTGAATTTTATGTAAAATAACCGCCAGACACTGCCTGCAAAGTCGAAAGCTACTAATGTTTCTTTGGGGAAAACACTGAAACGTCTTTCATAGGCAGAGGAGGGTGAAAGTATGTATGCATGCATGCATGCATGCGGTGTGACCTGAAAGGCCAGTGTTCGCTTGTCTTACGTTTAAATTGTACTGTGACAGTGAAACAGGGCCATTCTGATATGTCCATGATTTGACTAAATCCCAGTACATCTATAATTGCATTGTAAACTTGGGAACATTCTCAATACTTGTCATTACTTAATTGGATGTTTAATGTCTTAACCGTTTAACATCCAAATTATGTTGTAGGAAGATATGAAATATGACAGTGTACTTTATTTATACTCTAAATGCAATCTTAAAAGTGCTGTGTGTGGTTAAATAAGTTATGCTATTTTTAATAGTTGTTTTCCATGGGGTTTTAGTTATTTCTAATTATATTTTTAAGTTATTTCACGGGTACAACATCCAGATAATTATATATTAATAATCTGTAAACGTAATGGCAAACAAAGAAATATTTCTGTAAGCAGTGATTACTTGGCCAATCATGTCCTTGCTATGGTATTGACACTTGAATTGCACTCTGCAGGGCTTCGAACCTACAACCTTTTGGTGACCAACTCAGTTTTTTCACAGTGGTGCAATTACCCACAACAACTATTTTTATGAAGATAATTCCAAAGAAAAATGTTTATGCAATGTAGTGCAATGGCTGATTTCTGTTGTTGTTACAGGCAAATGGTTTGTATCCATTTGGTAGCATGTTCTGCATATTTGCAAGAATAAGAGTGAGACTTATTTTTAAAAAGTGAGACTGTATATTTAAAGTTCACCTAATAATAGGCTCTTTAGAATAGCTGGTCAGTTTTGTCTGATAACCAAACATTCCTTCCATAAACAAAGTCTTAATGGGGTTGGAGTTTGATATTTCATGAAGCTGGCAGGCTGTTGCATAAGCACGGTTCAAATGCAGTGTGCTTGATCACACTTAGTTTGGGGATTTGTTGTAGTTTCACTCAGCTGAGAGGAAAACATAGGCCATGTGCTGGCACCACACAGCAGCTTCAAGTGGTGTTCTGCATTAAGACGTTGACCTAAGACATTGAAATTAACCAAAAACAGGATGTGATGTCACAGGATGCGACCCTAAAAAGGCCAGGATGCTCAAGCATACGTGGTTCTTCTCGTCTGAGGAGCTAAGTTGGCCATTACAGTTCGGTACAGGCGTCAGAACGGCTGCCTCCTTACAGCAGATTTCCATGTGTGCAGCTGAGTTATTCCTTACAAGCTTTTTGTGAGTTATCAGCTGTTAAAAATACCACCATATATATATATATATATATATGCACACATGCAATCAGGTTGTGACCGTATCCTTACGCTTTTTGTTTTGTATCTGTAGATTCTGTGACAGTGTAAATGCTAAGCAAACCCGGACCAAAAGAACCAAACTACTATTGCAAACACACACTTAGATAGCTGATAAAAATGATGTTTTTACCCTCTTTATCTCAGGTACCCTCCTTAACCCAGGTCACATGTTTCAGGCTCATGTCACCGTCTGTTATAATCAGTCATGTCTGTGTGTCAGATATAACACTTTCCTCTGGCAGTGTGAGCTGTTTTTTTTATTCCCCTTGACTACCTGAAAAAGCACCTTCAAAAGATTTACAGCCTGAGAATTTCAATCACAGAGACATGTTATTATCTTAAAGATTGGCAGCATTCTCAAGAGATGTTGCAGCCCTGTGCCAGGTTGTCAGAGTATCAATTTTTTTTCCCTATGGCTCCTAGAGACCATTAGGCCCAGACTGGGAAGCACTTTGCCATTGAGGTTATGTAAGCTGTGGAAATAAATCATAAAAGTCAGTTACATTCTGAACATTTTTTGAACTAGACTGATCATTTTTTATTTTGAGGAGAGTTTTCTTTTTGTTTATCTTTAAACTGTAACATTTTATTCTATGCTTCTGTTGCATGTTGACAACATGAAGGGGCTCATGCCGAGCTGAGATGCATGATGGGATACATGCTGTGGTTCACATGGAATGGGATCTGTCTCAGTGTTTTATCTATAATGACTCAGCTTCTTCAACACTGCCTGCAGGCTGGGAGCAGATCAGAACCGATCTGTGGAGCATTTGTTATTGAACTTATGCCGTGGTGTTTCCCAAGACTTGCCCGCTAGTTATGCAACACAGGCCTGCCTTATTGATATTTCTTTGGATATAAGATATTGTGGAACTAAAAGGTCTGTCTGCTTCTATTTCTGCCCTGGAAAGGCACTCATATATGATTGTAAATGTGATGTGTGAAAAGGTCCTCAACCGTATGCTATGGTGAGGCAAGGATGTTATATAATTTTGGTCCTGATGCAGACCATTTCTGCGATATGTTCCTTATCCAGTCATGTGGATGATGGAGCCTTGAAAGCAATCTGGCATGAATAATAAATGTGCAACTCTTACCAGAAACAGCTGCTCTGTTTTTGTGATGACCACTAGTGTTCTGTTTTAGGAGACATAAAATGATTTTGTATTAAATGTTGGTCTGAACTCTGAATATGTATCTAAAGGAGGCCACATTCTTCAGCAGCTCATGTACCTTTTATAGCTCTGTAAAAATGTGTCATTCTGGCATGCCTTACTGCCTGAAATTATGAATGTGCAAAACAACAAATTTTTAAGATCAACTAGTTGGTGTGTTGCCTTAATTACTAGTTGATTATTTTGTCTGAAAGAAACCCTGTATAATTAGGGTGGTCAGACAGCTTTCTTAGGGTGTATTTACTTAATATCTGTTCTTGTGTTTAAAAACAGAGGGAGCACAATGGAATGGAAAAGAATGCTGTAAAAGTGGAACAACTTTTAACTTGACAAGTAGTTGTAAAAATTGAATGCTAATTAAATCACTGGCACAAATATGATCAAAACAAGACTGAATGTACAGTATGTGCGTGCATTGCTTATATCTGTGAGAATTTGCAAAAATGCAAGTGGTTCCTGATTACATATTCCTTTTTGGAATGTGAAAATTATGGCCTTAAGTGATTCCCTAGTGTTTTACTATAGGTTTAGACAGTTTTAGGACAAGTACCCTTTCTTTTTCTTCTCTAGACGTTTTGTTGTTGGTGGTGTTGTTGGTTTAATACATTACAAATGGCACAGATTATGTTCATTTACTCTGAAGACCCCACAGAACATAAATGGGCTAAATACAGTAAAGTTTCCTCGCAGTGATCTGTTTGATACCAGAATAGAGATATGGCAATCTCTGCATTTCTCTCCCCCATTTAGATGCGCTTCTGTGAAATAGAAACTCAATACCTGACAAGCACCTGTGCGTCAGTAGAGAGCTATATAAGTCATTTCCTGCTGACCTTCAGGGTCGTCCTCCTTGTTAGTCGTAGTGAAGCATGCTGAACAAGTGTTCTAGATTCAGGAATTGGTAACACCATTTGAGTGCATATATATTTTTTATCATTATAGAGTATTTCATAGGTCAGGGTCTAGTTAAAGAGTTGTAGTCTCGCGAGCTCATTTTGGCATTCTGTATACTCATTGCATCATAGCCTTGAATAGAGAATGTGAATTATCCGAGTTGAGTACCTTGATTCGTTTTTATCTACTTCCTCATAGTGGTGCTTCTGTTGTAAGTGACAAACCACTTCCCTTAAGACCTCTTACAAACTGCAGTGGTAAACATCTGTTTTAAAGGATTCTATAATTGCACATTTACAATCTTTTGTACAAGCTATTTCTTTAATGTTTTCTTTCAGATGACATAATTCCCTTTGCATTCCCTCTACATTCTGCTAAGGTTGTCATCCAAATGATTCCGAGCCCAAAACAAGTGGATTATTTTGTTTTATTTTACGACAAACAACGAGCGCTACTCTACACTGCTCAAAACTCGCGTTTTAATCACCAGTGGCAAATTCTTTAAATATGAAAACGTACTTGCAGACTGTGAGTCAGAACAGCCGGCATTGTAGTCTACTCTTCCAGGATCAGGAAACGGTCCTCCATAAAATGTGCTGCACACATCTGAATATTTGGGTTGAAGTGTTCTGGAACAGTGTTGTAAATACAACTTAACCACTGATTTCTAGTCGTGTCCTCTTTTGGAAGACCAAACAGAGTAATTTCGCTTTCGCAACGAAACACACAGCGTCTTCACAACATGTTGGCGGTGGTGGCAGCAACAATAAAGTTACGCCTTCTTTCTTTGCATGAACATTTGGCCGGCGTTATGCAAATCTTCCCACACAGTGACGTAGACATGTAGGGGCGTGTTTAAACGAGGCGTTTTAGGAGGGCGTGGACGAGTCTTAACTTTTATAAAGAATATCTCTTTGGGTTTGAGACTTTAGTCTTTACAACTTTAGGTATCTTATCTATTCACGAACAGCTTGTAACACTCCAAAGAGAAAGGAAAACTTGAAATCACATCATATGACCCCTTTAAAAAGAAACCTTGAATGCATTAACACTAACTATATGGAACAGTATTATTTTATTATTATTTATATACTTTTATAGTATTTATTAATATTTTGAATTAGATTTTATTTTTATATTTTTATACTAGTGTAGGTTTTAGTAATTTTGTTGTGTGCTTTTGTCATTTTATTGGTTTTATTTTTTTATGCTTCTGTTTTGCTTAAATTTATTCTTCATTTTCAGTTTTAGTACTTTTAGTACTACCTAAACTTACTAAAAGTACTGATTTTATTTCAGTTCATTGTCAAGGCAACTAGTGCTGGATAT